AAGTTAAGTACTAAAATTAACACGCCTCTTATAGTCATAGGACCAAAAGTGTAATTTCCTCTATCACCAATTATCAAATTATTTGTTTACATGTACAGAAATGGTTAACTATATGTATAAAATATGTTAACTGAAGGTACAGAATTTTTGTATTAGAGTTCACAATGTAATATATGAACCCTGGTTCATGGTATAACCATTGTTGTAAATATATTATCCTCCATCATTTTACATTTACAAAGGAGTGTGGTTTATCATATTAAAACTCTGTATTCTAGGCACACTAAAATTCTCTCTCCCTCTATTTATATTCTCTTTATATCCTTATAAATACATATCTTCATGTACTTCAATTATCATGGACTGATCAATAATAAGATAATTTTTAAAACTATTTCTCATTGTTCATATCCTCAAATAATAACTACCAAATTTCGTTGTCATTCAAAAACATATATATTAAAAATAAAAACTAAATACTTGTTGGTGATAATGAACCAAATCGATTTAATATCCCAAAATAATATTTATATATACACACGAAAATATATAAAATATTATTGAATATATATCCGAAATATATGTATATATGTATATACACACACACACACACACACACACACAAATATATATAAAACGGACCCAGAGGTTATATATACATATATATCTACGAAAAATATATACCAATATATATCAACCAAAAAATTGGAACGTATAATCCTCAGATTATAATTCCAATCCACAACTAAATCAAATAGAGAGAGGATTTTTGCTTAGAAGCATAATCCAAACCAAAAGAAGAAGGAGATTGGCTCGTGTTTGGGTATAGGGTTTTTAGCGCGAGTCAAGAGATCAATCTTTCCTTAAACCTTATTTGCCACCTCCCAAAAGTGCTAGGAGCGTTGTGGCCTAGGTTTCCCAGGATAAAACGTGCTACGGTCCAACGTTTGAGCACCCAAACGAACGAACCCGGCGAACTAGAGCAAAGCCTTGAACACAGCTAAGCAAAGAAAGGAGTAGGAACAGAGTATTTTGGAGCTAAAACCGTGCAAGTGTGTATGCTTTCTTCATGTTCTCTCTTGTGTAAAAAATCTGTTGTCCTACTCCCTTCTTATATAGGGGTTAGAGTACTCAATAGCATTTAGTTGGCATTTAATCCACATTTTTTAACACCTGAAACAGCCACCATTAAGTGAGATTAAATTCAAATTTTAAAATTGGAATCAATAGACAATTAATTTCGTAACAGATAAATTTAATCGCTCAGGTGCTGGTCCCTCTTCTGTGTTACTTTCGGCCTCCCAAGGTCGAACTTGTACCATGGTCTTAGCCAAGGCCAATTTTCGACCTCACGAGGTCGAGGGAGGTCGAACTTTCGACCTTGTACCTTGGTCTCAGCCAATACCAAGGTACTTTCGACCTTGTACCATGGTCTCAGCCAATACCAAGGTCCAACTTTCGACCTTTCGGCCTCCCAAGGTCGAACTTGTACCATGGTCTCAGCCAAGGCCAACTTTCGACCTCACAAGGTCGAGGGAGGTCGAAATCACAAGGTCGAGGGAGGTCGAACTTTCGACCTTGTACCATGGTCTCAGCCAATACCAAGGTACTTTCGACCTTGTACCATGGTCTCAGCCAAAACCAAGGTCCAACTTTCGACCTTGTACCATGGTCTCAGCCAATACCAAGGTTCAACTTTCAAGTGACTTTGAAAAGATGATATCGAAAGTTGGCATAACTGCCTACAAGGCCTGCCAACTCAAGCCTTTTCAATCTCAATTTGGGATTTGATTTGCACCTCCCTTGCGCGCAAGAGAGAGCCTCTATGTTATACAATTCAATAAACCTCTAAAAGACTCTTGTATAAATAGTGGGGCAAATCCTCTTCCCAAACCAATGAGGGACAAAATCTCACTTTTTCCCTTCATTTTCCCAACTCAATGGGTCTACTTTGAGAATCAGTATCTCATTCACCATTATCCGTTTTGAGCGTACAATATATCAATCTCTTCGTCTCACTACGAAGAACCCGAATCCACTTTGACCCGACTCAAATCAGAAGTGAACCCCACTGATAATTGTACCACAAAATAGTCACTTAAAATATCATTTTAATGCTATTTTTCTAACAATACTAGTTCACATTGACTTCTTAAAAGAATACTCTACGTACATTTCAATTTCGTTCAATTCAAGAACTTTTATCTTGAATTGCACAAAAACTTATCTAAATTGTTTTACGTGAAATAATCTTATACAAAACCAACTCTTTCAATCTTTTTGCATTTTTAATGTTTTTTAAATGCTATTTAAAAATCAAAGTACTTTCTTTTCCCCTTAAAATTTTAAGGTTGATGGGTAACATCATCTACATGTATGTGCACGAGGGTAAATGGGTTTTCACCAGCAGGAGTCAAAGTTGGTAACTAGTGTACCAACCACGACAGGAAAAAAAAAAAAAAAAAAAAAAAAAAAAAAAAAAAAGGTTAAATTTTTTGTTGGAAAGAATATTAGAGTTGGAAGGTTGGTGAAGAAATCAATGTGGTTGAGTTTTTCTCAAGTGCGTGGCTTCGATATACTTATTCAATAATGTCGGTTTCACACTAACTAATTTAAAGAATATAGTTTGATTCAACAAGAATGATATGAAAAAAATTTATCAAATGCTCACATGATTTTTGGATGATAAGAAAAACATATAATTACAAATCCAGGAGAATTGAATGTGCCAAATATAACAACTCACAAACCACATAAATTATTATTTTCTTGAATTAACTAATTATAATATTACGTCTCATCGAAATTTTTATGTAGAAGACTAAATTTAAAAATGTTAATATGTTAAATGATTAAATGTGAATAAATTCTAATTTGAGTAAATATTCAAAATGGTCCCTCGACTATAGCTAAATTCACAAATTGGTCCTTGACTTTCAATTTCAACCAATTAAGTCCTTAACTTTGTAATTTTAACACAATTTGGTCCTATGTCTATTTGACCGTTTGTTGACTGTGATTTTTGAGGATATATACGTAATTTCATGGTCCATCGTCGATTTTTTAAGGTTCTGGTTGCATTTCCAAACCACACTGTTACATTTGAATCCACTCCTGAAAGCAATCTACCAAATCTGGTCGCCTTTCTTCATCTTCCCTTAGGATTCAATGTAGTTGAGTTCGTACCAGAGCGAAGAAGACGACGTGTTTCCGAACCAGTGCAACGTCATCCGGGAGACCACCACGTGCTCCGACGAGAGCTGGAGGTTCTTCTGGATATTGTCAATCACGGTCAAAAAACGGTCAAATAGATGGAGGACCAAATCGTGTCAAAATTACAAAGTTAAAGACTTAATTGGTTGAAATTGAAAGTCGAGGACCAATTTGTAAATTTAGCTATAGTCGAGGGACCATTTTGGGTATTTAATCTTCTAATTTTAATATCTTTTTCCTTTATACTTTCTCACCGTTAAGTTTTTTGGAGTAAAAAAGGTAAAGAATGAAGTCCACCAAATATGGGTACCTTGAAGTCAAATGAACAGCATGACACGAGATTTGATTGAATTTCACCAAAAATGGGAGTCTCATAAAGGGTAAATATATAATTGAGTATAATCTATACTATTTACAAATTGTGAATAATTCATAAGATTATATTAAGAGTTAATTCCACCAAAGGTACCTTGTTTTTTGTGAAAATTTCAAATTTAATATCATATTATCATTTTTATCATTTAACATCTCAAATTATTATTTTTAGACACTTTTAGTCCTTCTCATAACTTTTTCTATTTTTAAGAAGAGCATTTTTGTCTTTTCATATTTTTCTTTTGTTATTTTTTGAGTTTCAACCAGTTTAGAACTTTAGGTAACCTCTGATTTTTAATAACCATATTTTTTAACGAATTTTTAATAAAATTCTAAACCAATTAAACCGATTGAAATCGAAAAAAATTACAAATAAAAAATATGAAGAGACAAATACCCTTACTAAAAATAGAAAAAAGTAATGGGAACTAAAAGTGTCTAAATAAATAATAGTCATGTGATGTTAAATGACAAAAATGATAATCTGAAATTAAATTTACAAAGATGATAATCTGAAATTAAATTTAAAATTATCACCAAAGAAAATAACCTTTAGTAGAATTAACCGTTATATTAACTTTCAACTTAAATAAATCTTTTACTGAACATTAATAACAATAATCAGGCCATGACTTTCTCAAATATCACTTCTTAAGGCATTAATTAATAATGAGTTAATTACCATTATAGTCCCTTAATTATTTCCCATTGTCAATATAGTCCTTAGTTTTCAATGTCAACTAATTTCACCATCAAATTGTTTAAATTTCCATCAATTAAACCCTTTTATAGACTAAAATGGTGATTTTTACATTTTCAAAATTTCAACAATTTAATCCCAAAATAAGTTTAATTAATAAAATTTTAAACAATTTATGAATCAAATTGATTGAAATTAAAAAGTAAAGACTACATTAAAAGTTCAGAAACAATCAAGAGACCGAAATATTGAGAAACCAAAATATTGATCTCCTCGTTAATAACTTATAGTCCACTCTTTCATTATAAATGATCGGAACTGGAGTCATTAACCGACAGATTTTTCACACGTTCAGCCAAATTTCAATAAAATATCAACAATCAAATAATGCTACTTTTTCTCCTAAAATTACCTCCTAATGTTCACCTCTTTATTTACTAAAAAACATCTTTATTTGCTAATCAAATATAAAAGAAAGCAATTAAATATCACCACATAGGAGGCGAAATCAATAAGAAAATGCTAACATTTTCAAATGATTTTTTTATAATCCAAACTGTATTAATAGAATCATGGAAAAGATTTCAGACGAGATGCAGTAACCTATCTGAACCATATACTAATTGCACTTTCATGAGGACATGACAAATGTTCCATGGATTGTAGGCATCTTACTGTGTATTATAACATGAAACCGAACCAAATAAAGGAAACCAAAATACTTTAAAACATCAAATTGCAGAAAACCTTCAGGATGAAATAATAAAAGTTGTATGTTCATAAGAAATCTGTGCATGTTTTAATAAAGTATATCAAAAAGCATAGAATGCAACAAGGCCCAACCAAACTCTACCAGAATAAAAACATTCAAACCCATATACTGTTGTTACTTTGCTCCACCAAACTTGTTCATCATTTTTGCAATGACCGGAGCCAACTTGGGATTTGATTGGTGCTTGGCTAGATTAGCAGGGTTCTTCATCACTGCAAAAATAGTCATTTAACGAGTTCCATATTAATCTGGCCTTATCGACAACACAACTTAATCCCCTCTAGAACGTGATTGTTTAAAAAAAAAAAAAAAAAAAAAAAAATCTTAATATCAAGCTAGAGTATAGATGCATGAATCACAATGATTACGTTACAAGAATACAGTTCAAAATGGGCAAGTAATCTCAGCCTAGGGAACAAATCACAGTTTCACCAGTAAACAAAAGGCAAATAGCAAATGAAAAGATAATACTGGAAAGCAGAAGCAACAGAAGGCACTTAGGAGTTGTAAATGTGAGCATAATCAGCCTGCATTAAGAAGAGAGAGAAAATGCCCATGCACATTGATATTATATGTCCCCATGCCGATCCTTCCTTTGGCATTTCAACTTTAAAATTCATGTCAACACATTGTATCATGATAAAGTTTTGTACAAATCAAACATACAATTGAAAGCAATTATTATTACATCATCTAGCCTAGATATATACAGCCTACATCATCAGCACATTGTATCATGATAAAGTTTTGTACCACCCCCATCTTTTAGACTAAGCTATCCATTCAATTCTTTATTTTGTTAGGAAGATCCATTCATTAATCAATAAATTCAGATAATCTTGAAATTTGATACCACTAAGTAGGAATAGACCAATATCACACCATGAAGCCATACTTCCTGGAAAATCCCACTAAGCAGGATAATACATCCCTACATATCTACAAATCATGACTTTGCACTGTAAAATATACGGAGTAGATTAAAGGTGTGTTTGGTTCGCACATAAGAATCGGAATCAGAATGGGAATCAAATACTTGGTAATGGTAAAGGGTTTTGGTGAAAGTATTTTGCATTTTCGGCAGTAGGGTGGAATTGAATGATTACCAATATTGATGTTTGGTTATGTATGACCCTATAATCAAAACAAAGGTTTTAAAAATACAAAAACAAAAAATCAAGGCAATTGATCCTAATATAATGACATCCAAAGCACCAGTATGAAAAAAAAAAAAAATCAAAACAAAAATCTGAGGGATGTAGTGAGGAGGCGACAGATCAGGAGGTGACAAATGAGGGATAAGATGGGATGATACATGTTTTTAATTAGGGAATGGAGTTTTTAGTTGAAGGGGTAATCAAATCACGTAGTTGTGTTTTAAAAAGTTGTCAACCAAAGAATAACTATGATTTGATTCCCATTCCTGGTGTGTAAATTCACGAACCAAACACATCCTAAATCTGCTTACCCATATCAAGTTTTCAACCCCACACACACACACACACACAAAAGATATCATTCCAGCTTAACACATCAAACAAGCTACAATATAGCAGGGGAAAAAAAAGTATTGGACTGTAATTTAAAAGCAAAAAATTTCAAATTCTCAGGCGAAGCCAATTTTTGAAATGGAAACTTAGTAACCAATTAATGTGTACATGCATCCAAAAAACTGAATTGCATTATATTAGGACCAAACAAATTACCATCTTGAAGAGCAGTCATAACTTCTGGATCTTTAAAAGCAGCCATTAGTTCAGGGTCCTGTTCAATTCAACATTAGATGATGAGTCAGATGACATTCAATTACAATTGCTAGGTGAAACTCTTAAATAACCATGCAAACCAGCATAAAGAGGGGAAAGTTGTGAAGAAAATAGTTCGATATCACGCATAACTCTATAACAAATTGAGTAAATACTAGATGAACTATTGGAGTATAGCACTTATACACCAACGCCAAATTGCTACTAATCATATCAATGATTAAGGTGTTAACCATCACAAATTTACATTCATCTGTTAAAGACAGTGAAACACTTCTCATATGACAATTTGGAATGTTTAATATTTTGAAATAATGTTTTCTCAATGGATCAGAGTTGAAGTTTGGAGGGTGGGAAAATAAAAAATGAATAGAAGTAAAGATAACTATGGATACATAGTTATAATTTTTGGTTCTTTGTATTTTCTGCAAACTGTTTGCAATTTCTTTAGTAATTTACCTCATGTGACAATGTATACAATAGTAGAACCGACTTCACAAGGTTGCTATGTTTTTCCTAAATTTAAGGTTAGTAACTTCTTATAATAAATAACAATTATTTTGATCAATTAATTACAAAAACTTAAATGATTATTACGGAGTACTATTTGCACCCAAAAAAAAAAAAAAAAAAAAGACATGGCCAATATTGGATTTATTCTTTAATGAAGTGGGGCAATTTTGTTAACCGCCAGTCATACACCAATGGGGCATCAAATATTTTCTCTAAAAAATTAGAGCAAAGACAGGACCATAGAACTTGGATAAGATAGTTTGTTATCAGAATATATAGTTGCTTACATTCAGTATTTGGCTGTAATCAATGTTTCCTGGCATCCCTCCAGGCATGCCTCCAGGAAAACCTCCTGGCATTCCACCAGGCATCCCACCACCCATACCAGCAGGGAAGCCACCAGGCATCCCACCACCCATACCACCACCCATACCAGCAGGGAAGCCACCAGGCATCCCACCACCCATACCAGCAGGGAAACCACCTGGCATGCCACCACCCATACCAGCAGGGAAACCACCTGGCATGCCACCACCCATACCAGCAGGGAAACCACCTGGCATGCCACCACCCATACCAGCAGGAAACCCTCCTGGCATGCCACCACTTCTCCTACTTGATGACTGCTCTTGTTTCTTTGCCCTTTCATAAGCAGCCTGAGATAATCACAAGAGATATCACTAACCATGGAACCAAGGATGATATCTTCACTTCTAAAAATGCAAGTAATAATGGTTTACCTGAGCCTCAGCTTTTCTACGTTGCCTCTCACGCTCAATTTTTCTATCTTCTCTTTCTTTCCGCAACCTATCATACTTCCTTCGGTGCTCTTCAATTTTGTGTGCATTGGGTTCAACCTGCAATCATAGATAAATTTAATTCACTCGTGACTAGTGACAATCTATCTGTAATACAAAAGTTTAGATCAGCCCCAACGTTAAAGAAGAATGTAGAAGTCGTTGAATTACAGTGAAGTCGCATCACTGTCAAAGGCAGATGTCACTTAGTGAACTGGAATATAGCATACTAACCTTTTTAAGTACAGAACTTATCTCTTCATCATAGTCCAGCTTTGAAGCTGTGTGGAGATCTTTTGCAGCCTCTTCCCATTGTCCTAACATAGATCGTGCAATACCGCGTGATTTATACCCTTTGGCAGAATCAGGATTAATCTGTAGCAACAAAATGAAATTTATTTTACAAAGAAAATCATGACAGCTGTCACTTTTTAAAATAATACATCCTTTTAGTAATGAAAATTTTAGAAGATATAGTTCACACCAGGCTCTTGATAGTTTAAGAAAAAAAAAAGAGTACAAACAATGTTGCGTAGAACAATTTTTAGGAAACCCCTGACCAGCCATCGAGAGACGGCATTTCAATAATACATCATGCACAAACATAGCATGTCCATCTTCATACATGAATGCATTGATCCATAAACATCCAATATGAACATAGAGTCATAGACAATTACAGGATGGTTCTTAGAAAATCTCCATAAGATGTCCCAAATACAAATCCTGCTCCTTAGTGTTATTTAATTTCAATAAACACCAAAAAAGTTAATAAAATGCCAACCTCTAAAGCTGCACTTGCATCTCGGATGGCAGCATTGGGCTTTTTCATTTTGATAAACACACTGGCTGTAAAACATCAAACATAAAGAGAGCACATGATTGCTCAGGAAATATGACTCAATAGCATTATATAAATATTAGAATCATTAATACAAGAAAAACATAATACAGGCATTACCTCTAGTAGCATACATAATAGCAGACGTAGGGTTGAGTATAATTGCTTTCGTAAGATTATCAATTGCTTCATCCAACTTACCTGATTGAAACAAAAAGTGGAGACATGTTAGCTTATTGTATATCTTTAGATACAACTTTGTGCATAAGGCTGCAAGCAATAGCACCTTCAGAAAGTGCTTCCATGGCCTGAGCTTTTGCCTCTTGAGAAGAGTCACGATTTTCCTCTGTAACCTCCACTGATGAATCTCCCATCTACCACAGTTGAAAATGATCATAACATTAACAAAACAACAGAGCCAAAATTATAAGTTAAAAACTGAAACATCACATCATAATGTACCAGACCTGCTGTGGAGGATCATTGTCAGGCTCCACAACGCCACTCTCATCAAGCTCAATATCAGATTCTACTATCTCAGGCTCCTCTTCTTCAGTAGTTCCTGTTGGATGAGCCTCACTCCCAGAGTCACCCATTTCCTCATCACTTTCTTCTACCACATGAGACTTCTGTTCACACAAATTTTCCACAAGACATAGTACTACAGAGTATCAAACAACAACTTTTATCATACATTGCGAGCTCAAATCTAATAGTCCCACAGTGAACCAATAATGTTAAATAAGCTCCATTTCCTGTTCTATGGAGCAAAAAGTTTTCACATCTTCACTATATCCATTTTAGATGAAACTATCGATATCTAGACACTCGAAACCCTAATTCACTGCAGGTAAATAACATTCACTTTTCCAGAAATCAAATGGAAGAAGATTAATTTCAAAAATCAACAAAAAAGAAACAAGTTCAGAATCCATACCGCTTTATACTCTCCCGGCTTGTAAGCAGAAGGAGGAAGCTTTCCGCCAATACTGAACAACAAAAAGTAAATAAAATCCAATTACAATCACAATAAACACAAAAAAAAAAAAAAAATCAAACTCTGTAACACCAAAAATCATAAAACAATAGCAACAAATTTCTAAGGTTTCCGAAATCCATAAACGCACGTACAACATGTGTGTATACACATACCTTTCGATGTAGTCGCGGAAGAAGGCGAGCGAAGGATCGGAGAGAACAGAAGGGTCGGACTTGCACTGTTCAACGAATTGCTTCAATTGATTCAGGTTAGCGGCGTCCATGTCTGAGGGAGAAGAAGAAAAGATCCTTTTCCCGACTGATGGAATTTGGGATTGCGGTGTTATGGTTCGTTACTATAGTACTACAAGGTAGTGAGGCGGAGAAGGGTAGCGATGTAAACCAGGGTCTCTTCGGCGGTTTCTACTGTAGCACGCTTCTAGTAACTTCTATTCAGTAGTCTCTGGAATCATCAATCGTGACTCTGACCGGTTCAGATACTATTCACAGGACCTCAATAAAATGTTCCGGTTCACGTAACATTGAGCATCCCTATTAGTGCATTTTACACCTTTTTTAGAATAGCTTTAGTGATATCGATGAGAGAAGGTGAGAAACAAGAAAATTAGAGTTGTTCCTACAAATAGTGAGTTTTTTTTGTGATCACAACGGACAAAAAAAGGGAAATAAACACGTAGCAATGCGCGTTTTGCGCAAAATGACGCCAGCCGAAGCGCCATGCATTGGACGCCCCCAGCTGGCGCGTCAATACCTTTTTTTTTTCCTGTGTCAGAATCCTTTTTTTCCTTCTTTTTTTTTTTCTTCTTCTCTTTTCTCTTCCTTCTCTCCTACTTAGCACATCAAAACTACACAAAAAACCTCACTATTGAAGATACCCTAAAGTAACATCCACTTCGATAGTAGACAACTAGAATTTTATGGTAAATAGTAAATACAATGAAAAATGTTTAAATTAGTTACTCAATTGTACATAAAAGTGCAATTGAATCATTTAATTTAAAAAATGTAATTAAGTTTCTCAACAATCCAAAAAAAATTGACTAAATTTGACATGTCATCGCTAACGTGGCGGTCATCATCTTAAAAAAATATTATTTTTAAATTTATTTTAATAATTTTAGATAAAATAAATTTAAAATTACACTTTTTGTTGGATGGCCTTATTACACTTTTTGTGTTGGGAAATTCTTCTTACCCCTTGTTGGAAAAAATAGCTTAAAATGGCATAAAATGGCATGTTAAGTGGCTATTTTGTGGTACAATTATCAGTGGGGTCCACTTCCGATTTGGGTCGGGTCAAAGTGGATTCGGATTCTTCGTAGTGAGACGAAGAGATCGATATATTGTACGCTCAAAACGGATAATGGGTGAATGAGATATTGATTCTCAAAGTAGACCCATTTGAGTTGGAAAATGAAGGGAAAAAGTGTGCTTTTGTCCCACATTGCTTTGGAATGAAGATTTTCCCCCCTTATATACAAGAGCTCTTTTGAAGCTTGTAGAATTGTATATCATAGAGGCTCTCTCGCGCGCGCGGGGGGGGGGGGGGGGGGGGGGGGGGGGGGGGTGCAAATCAAATTCCAACTAGCAAAGATTGAAAAGGGCTTGATTCAAGCCCGAGCTCGTGTGCGCCGGCACCTGGGGCACTCTCGTGCTACCGAGAGCATGAGAGGTTGTGGTGCACCGAGAGCACAACTCTCGTGCTACAAGAGAGCATGAGAGGTTGTGGTGCACCGAGAGCACAACTCCCCTGTACGCTAACGATCTGGAACCCGAAAGTTCTGACTGTTGAGGGGATTGAATTCATCTGTTACGAAATTAATTGTCTATTAATTCCAATTTTGAATTCTGAATTCAATTCCCAGGTAGTGGCCTGCTGTTATAGCTGTTGGAAGGCAGCTTTAATGTCATTTTTAATTGCCATAATAAAGGCTATTGGCTCCTTCAACCCTATATAAGAGAGGGTAGAGGCAGTAGAGTAAAACACACAGCTTTACACAGCACGAAAGTATACTTTTCCAGCTTCAAAAATCTCTGCTTCTACTCTTTCTTTAGCTATACTGTGTTCATAGCCATTGTCTTGCTCGCCGGATCCTTTGTTTGAATGCTCAAACATTGGATCATAGCAAGTTTTATCCTGGGAAGCCTAGGCCACAACGCTCCTAGCATCTACGGGAGGTGGCAAATAAGGTTTTAAGGAAAGAGTGCTCACTCGACTCTTGCAAAAACCCAACACCAAACACTAGCCACTTTTCTTCATCTTTTCTTCCCTTCTTTCCAGAAAATAATAGTCAATTTTATTTGATTATTATTTATTTTCCTACCAACGGTACCAACAGTCTTAAAACCTTATATATTTGTTTTCCCGTTGGTGGTCTTCTCCGAATTTCCTTGAAGAAAATGGAGCATCCCGTACTGCCAATTGATGGGGAGGATAATGTTGTTGCGGACAACAATGGAAGAAACGGCAACAATAATGTGGTTGCGGACAACAATGGAAGAAACGGCAACAATAACGTTGTTGCGAATAACAGTGGAGGGAATGGCAACAATGTTGCTAATTCCCAAGCTACACCAATGAACGTTGGTTCACAAGATGGTGGGAGCACTGAGGGATATATTCCCATGTCTCGGGTACCTTCGGTACCGAGTGGTTCGGCTGAAAAGCCGGAGAAGTTCACCGGTGTTAGTTCGAACTTCAAGAGGTGGCAACAGAAAATGTTGTTCTACCTAGCAACTCTCGGCCTGGCAAGGTTCTTGTCCGAGAGTGTTCCTGAGTTGAAGGAACAAGATGCACAATCCGTGATGGCAGTTGGCTATTGGAAGGATTCGGACTTCCTTTGCCGAAACTACATCCTGAACGGATTGTGACACGCTATATGATGTATATCGAAAGATAAGCACATCAAAAGCGTTGTGGGAAGCTTTGGATCATAAATACCGAAGTGAGGATGCTGGCTCAAAGAAATTTGTAGTTGGCCGATTCCTCGACTTCAAAATGGTTGATTCAAAGACCGTGCTAAGTCAGGTAGAAGATTTGCAATTAATCTTTGATGAGATCCGTGACGAGGGCATGGTGCTAAGTGAAGCCTTCCAAGTGGGATCTGTGATCCATTTGTTGCCTCCATGGTGGAAGGACTTCAAGAACTACCTTAAGCATAAGCGGAAGGAGATGAATCTGGAGGACCTGATCCAGCGACTCAGGATTGAGGAAGGGAACAGGACGAATGATAGGAAAGTTCCTATCGTTGTTGGCGCTAAGGCCAACGTTGTGGAGCACGGTAAGAGCTCAAAGAGGAACAAGAAGGACAAGCGAAAGCTAGGTCCGAAAGGTGGCGTTACCAAGAACAAGTTTCCTGGTGAATGCTACAATTGTGGCAAGCATGGCCACAGAGCATCTGAATGCAAGGCTCCAAGGAAGAAGAACAAGAGTTCTGAAGCCAATGTTGTTGGAGATAGCAGTCAGAAGGAGGTCGAGATTAGCCTTTCGGCTATGGTGACCGAGGTGAACCTCGTGGGCTCAAACCCTCGTGAGTGGTTCATTGATACCGGTGCAACCAGGCACTTGTGTTGCAACCGAGAGATGTTCAACACCTTTGAGACCGTTGAAGGTGAAAAGGTGTGGATGGGAAACTCTGCTCAGTCTGCTGTGGAAGGCATGGGCAAGGTGGTTCTGAAGATGACTTCCGGGAAGGAACTGACGTTGAACAACGTGTTGTATGTTCCTGAGCTGAGGAAGAATCTTGTGTCTGGCTCTCTGTTGAACAAGCATGGCTTTCGCATGGTGTTCAAGTCAGACAAAGTAGTTTTGTCCAAGTTAGGAATGTTTGTTGGTAAAGGATATGTAACTGATGGGCTGTTTAAGCTCAGTGTAATTCCTGTTATCAATAAAAGCAAAGTTAATTCTGTTTACTTGCTTGAGTCTTCTAATTTATGGCATGGTAGACTAGGTCATGTTAATTTTAATTCTATGCGTAGATTAATTAGCATGGACCATATTCCTAACTTTCAAATTGACACAAATAACAAGTGTGAAATTTGTGTTGAGGCAAAACTAACGAAAGTACCTTTCAAGTCGGTTTAAAGGGAAACTGAACCACTAGAATTAATCCATAGTGATTTGTGCGATTTTAGATCGATACAAACGAGAGGTGGTAATAAGTATTTTATCACATTTATCGACGATAGCACACGATACTGCTATGTGTATTTGCTTAAGAGCAAAGATGAAGCCGTTGATAAATTCGTTCTTTATAAGAATGAAGTGGAAAACCAACTTAATCGGAGAATTAAGAAGGTTAGAAGTGATCGAGGTGGTGAGTACGAAGCACCTATTGGTGACTTCTGTGCGAGTGTAGGGATAATACACGAGCGTACTGCACCTTACTCACCTCAATCGAACGGTGTTGCCGAACGAAAGAATCGTACATTGAAAGATATGATGAATGCGATGCTTATAAGTTCGGGCCTACCTCAAGATGCTTGGGGTGAGGCGATTTTGACAAGTAACTACCTTTTGAATAAGGTACCCCGAAAGAAGCTCGATAAGACTCCTTATGAGCTGTGGAACGGTAGGAAACCTTCCTACCAGTACCTGAAAGTGTGGGGGTGTCTTGCCAAAGTTTTGGTGCCAACACCTAAGAAAGTAAAGATAGGTCCTAAGACGGTGGACTGTATCTTTATTGGCTATGCACATAATAGTAGTGCTTATCGGTTCTTAGTACACGAGTCCAATAATCCGGATGTACACGAGAACACGATAATAGAATCAAGGAATGCATATTTTTTCGAAAATATATTTCCTTGTAGGTCCAACGAGGGACCAAGTACGTCAAAACGAACGTTTGACGAAACTATGGATAATGATAGTGGGGAATCCGAGAGAGAACTCGAGCTCGAGCCGAGACGCAGTAAGCAGGCGAGAGTTGGAAAATCATTCGGTCCTGATTTTCTAACTTACTTGTTAGAGTACGATTCGGGTACTCTAACTTGTTTATTAGAAAATGAACCCGATTTTCTATCTTGTTTGATAGAGAACGAGCCTCGAACGTATGTAGAAGCTGTGACTTCTACGGAAGGACCAATGTGGAAAGAGGCTATAAAAAGTGAAGTGGATTCTATTCTACAGAATCACACTTGGGAACTGGTTGATCTTCCTCCGGGTAGTAAACCCTTAGGATCCAAGTGGGTCTTTAAAAGGAAGATGAAACCGGACGGTTCCATCGAGAAGTATAAGGCTAGGCTTGTAATCAAGGGTTACAGGCAACGCGAGGGCCTCGATTACTTCGACACGTATTCTCCCGTGACGAGAATAAACTCCATAAGGATGATACTTGCCATAGCCGCACTGCGGAACTTAGAAGTCCATCAAATGGATGTGAAAACCGCTTTCCTAAATGGCGAATTAGATGAGGAAATCTATATGGAACAACCCGAA